TCTTTCTCTCTTTCTCTCTTTCTCTCTTTCTCTCTTTCTCTCTTTCTCTCTTTCTCTTTCTCTTTCTCTTTCTCTCTTCTTTCCCTCCTCCCCCTCCCTCTCCCCCTCCTCCTCCTTCTTCTTCACTGGTTTATATATTTATTTTTTATTTTTTTATTTTTCAATTACAAGTTACAGTCAATATTATTCTGTATTACTTTCAGGTGTACAGTATAGTGGTTAGACCATCATATACTTTACAAAGTGTGCCCCCGATATTCCCAGTATGCACTTGACACCATACATAGTTATTCTGAAAGTACTGACTAGATCTCCTACGCTATGCTTTATATACCCGCAATTATTTTCCAACCACCAATCTGTACTTCTCAATCCCTTCACCTTTTTCACCCAGTGCCACAAGCCCCTTCCCCTCTGGCAACCATCAGTCTATTCTCTGTTTCTATGAGTCTGCTTCTGTTCTGTTTGTTTATATTGCTCTTTAGATTCTATATATAAGTGAAATCGTATGGTATTTGTCTTTCTCTGACTGGCTCATTTTACTTATCATAATGCCCTCTACATCCATCCATACTGTCACACATGGTAAGATTTTGTTCTTTTTTTATGGCAGGGTAAAATTCTTGTTGTTATACTTAAGCCTAGCTACCTAGGATTCACCATTGGGTCACCATAGCTGGCACCATATATAGTTATTACAATATTATTTGACTATATTCCCTATGCTGTACGTTTATTTCCCCTTTGATCCATGGGTCATTTGGAGTGTATTATATAATTTTCAGATATCTCCTGTTATCTTTTTGCTACTGATTTCTACCTTAATTCTACTGTGCTCAGATATTGTACTCTGTATGATTTCACTCCTTTCAAATTTAAGACTTGCTTAATATCCCACAGCACGCTAAATGTTGGTGAATGTTTCATTTGCATTTAAATAGTGTATGTATTCTTCAATTGCTGTGTATAGTGTTCTATATTTATCAGGTCAACTTTGTTGATCATGTCATTCAACTCTTCTATATGCTTAATGGTTTTTTTAATCTGCTTTTTCTACCAATTACTGAGAGAGATGTATATAAATCTACCAACTTGTGAATTTCTTTCTTTAAATTTATTGACTTGAGAGAGAGAAACATTGATTTGTTGTTCCACTTATTTATGCATTAATTGGTTGATTCTTGTGTGTGCTCTGACTGAAGATCAAACCCTCAACCTTGGCTTACTGGGACAGCACTCTCATCAGCCCTGCCAGGGTGATTGTGAATTTCTTTATTCTCTTACTTTTGCCACTTTTTACTGTATATATTTTCTACATTATTAGGCTTATGCAAATTTAAGATAGTTATAATTTCCTGTTGAGGTTGAATCAAATCTTTTGTAATTATGAAAAATCCCTGTTTATCTCTATAATGCAGATTTTCTTAAAGTTTATTCTGTCTGATATTTATATAGTTATCCTGATTTATTTTGGTTATTGTTTGCATGGTATATCATTTTGCCATTTGTTTATTTTTAACCATTTGTATCCTTACATTTAAAATGTGTCTCTTCCATCTTTGTTAAAGTAGACAGGTTGTCAGGAATTATCAACTTTCAGAGTCCTGAGGATCCAAAAAATTGATCAAATGACTGGTCTCAGAAACTAAATTCACTGATGTCTCTAGGTAACAAAACAATGCATCTCATAGCCAAAGAGGAGATGATATATAATTTACAACAAGGGTCTCGATGTGCTTAATGCTTTTAGAAAAGAGTTAAAATTGGAAGTCATTAATAAAAAGACTGTTGTGGTGTACATGTTGGCTTTTTCCTATTCTCAGCTCCCTTGTCTAAAATTTAAAAGAGAGTGAATATGTTTGAGGCCCATTTCGACCTTTCAACTCCTTGATTTCATTGTTAACTTTTTATTTACAATTGGTAGAAAAATGTAATATGTTTCTATTGCTTGAGTACTCAAAAATTGTTTCATAATTTACCCAAATATTTTTCTATCATTTGAAACCTTTTAAGCTATTATTTGCTTTCATTCAGCTAAGAACCATAATTATAATAAAAGCAGTATATGCACGTTAAAAAATGAAAATGTGTCTCTTGCAAGCAGTACATGGTTGATTTTTTAGAAGTTTTTAAATTTTTAAAATTGATTTTAGAGAGAAAAGAAGGGAGAGGGAGAGAGAGAAACATTGATGCCTCCTGCACGCCCCTGCTGGGTATTGAGCCCTCAACCCAGGCATGTGCCCTGATTGGGAATTGAACTGGTGACCTTGTGGTGCATGGGTTGACGCTCAACCACTGAGCAACACCAGCTGAGCTATGGTTAATTTTTTTCATACAGTTGGACTGTTTCTTTAATTGAAGAATTAATTCAATTATATTTAATGTAATTATTGACACATTTAGGTTAATATGTGCCATCTTTCTGTTTGTTTCCCATTTGTCATATCTGTTCTTCATTTTCTTTTTCCCCTTTGTACTTTTGGATTTATAAAGTTTGTTTTATTTATTTTTTTTGATAGAATATTATGAACACAAGTGAAGCCACAGCTCCTGACCTAGCATAGCAGGTCCCTGTGATATATTTTGTGATGTGACAAGTAGCAGAGAAATATATAGAATAGCTTAATCCCATCCTCCCCTTTTCTGTGTATAAACCATGGTAATACGTGGGGTGGTGTGTAAGGCTTCGAGAAGGTCTACAAGGACAGTTGAGCTGACTGCTCCATAGGATACCTGGGGCTGGTAGTTAAAACAACACAAGAGCAAAATGCAAATGCAAATGCAAATGCAAATGCAAATATAAAAGAATATTGACTGTAAACTGTAATTGACAAATTAAATTTAAAAAAGACATTTCTCACATATTTGTAGTAATATTAGAGAAAAAATGTGCTGTTTCACTTCACAAGACCATGAGCACATTTACATTTTTAATTTTTTTTTCAATTAAAGTTTACATTCAATAATATTTTGTATTAGTTTCAGGTGTACAGCATAGGGGTTAGACAATCATATATTTTACAAAGTGGCTCCCCCACTATTTCAAGTACCCACCTGGCACCGTATGTAGTTATTAAAATATTATTGACTATATTTCCTATGCTGTACTTTACATCCCTGGGACTGTTTTGTGGCTACCAATTTGTAGTTCTTAATCCCTTCACCTTTTCACCCAGTCCCCCACCCCCACCCCCCCAGCAACCATCAGTCTGCTCTCTGTATCTATGAGTCCATTATGAAATTTGTTTTAAATAAGCTTTTTATTTGGGAATAATTTTAGATTTACAGAAAAGTTGCAAAGATTATACAGAGAGTTGCCATACACCCAGTTTCAATTTCCCTTAATGCTATTATTTGTTGAAATTAAGAAACTAACATTGCCACATCATTATTAACTAAACTTCAGATTTTATTCAGGTCTCACTAGTTTTTCCATTAATGTTCTTTTTCTGCTTCAGGATCCAATCTACAATCAACATTGCATTTAACTGTCCTGTCTCCTTAGTCTCCTCTGATTTGTGGCATTTTCTCAGTCTTTGACCTTAACAGTTTTGAGCAGAATTTGTCAGGTATTTTGTAGAATGTCCTTCAATTTGAATTTATTTGCTGTTTTTCTCATGATTAGATTGGGTTATTGGTGTGTTTTTAAAAAATTATTTTTAAAAATTGATTTCAGAGAGAGGAAAGGAAAGAGAGAGAAACATCAATGATGAGAGAGAATCATTGATCGGCTGCCTCTTGCACGCCTCCTGCTGGGGATCTGCAACCTGGGCATGTGCCCCGACTGGGAATTGAACCGGCAATCTCCTGGTTCATAGGTGGACGCTCAGCCACTGAGCCTCACTGCCTGGTCGGGTTATTGGGGTTTTTTGAGAAACAATACTACAGAGATGAAGTGCCTTTCTCATTGTATCAGAGGGTTCATGCTATAAACATGACTTATCACTGGTCATATAAACCTTGATTAAGGTGGTGTCTGCCAGTTTACTCCTTGTAAAGTTGCTTTTTTTCCCTTCCCAAACTCTATTCTTTGGAAGTGAGTCACTAAATATGATGTATTTTTTATTTTTCTATTTTCCATTTTATAGTTTAGTAGTAACACATTCTTTTATTATTCTTTTAGTTGTTAACCTAAAAATGACACCATGTTTTCTTGACTAAAACCTACCTGCAATTAATACTGTTACCACCTCTTAATGTAAGGCTCTTTCAGCACCTTAACTCAATTTATTCCGTTGTAAACTGAGCTGTTGTCATGTGTTACTAATGTCATGAATTTTAATTCATCAAGTTTTTAAAACCTCGTTAAGACATTTAAAAAATCTTGAAAGAATCCCAAACCTACAGAAAATTTAAAGTACAGTACAAAGAACTTTTCCCCTGA